TGAAAAACCCAGTTAAATTGCTTTTTACTTTAGTTTATAATTTAGATAATAGTACAGTAAACTCAAAACATATTTGCTATTCGAATAGAGTTGGAATTAATTTTAACTCGATCAAACACGTAGTCCTCATGGGTTCGACACTCGACACACTACTATATTACTTGTTCACGTCCAATATCACGTCCAATATCACTTGCGGGAAATCAAACGATCAGCATGGTTTAAAGATGTGAAGGAGAGTTCACTATGGCTAGCAAACGATATAAGCCTAATTTATACGATGTTTATTGTTCACATGATATGATTTGTGATTTATGTTTCATTTTTTGTTGAAGTAGCATGTCTAACTGGTGATGGAACTTTTGACTTTTCTAGGCAAGTAATTATGGGCTGCACATTCAAGAATGCTATTAATATTGAGAAGTCTATGGGCTGCAGCAAACTCGTACTGGTTACTTTGCAACTGATATTGACTTTGTTCTATCCACTATATGTATATGTATGACTCCCATCATGACCATATCACACAATGCCAACTGGAGGATATCTTAGATCCACTGGTAGTCATCATTCCTATGATGGCTAGGACAACAAACATTCAAGTAAAGGATAAACTAGTCGTTGCAAGGAAGAAAACCTCATTCAATCATATTTATTTAATTGATATCTTACTATTTACCTACGGGAGTGATTGTAGTATATTCGCAATCAAGTATATCAAATTTCGAAGTATTGGACGTGATAAATCCCTGATCAACTAGACTCATGTATCTAAATTGGAGGTTGAAGTTAGCATCCAACTTGTATGCATTGAATTGTGACTCATAGTGTTTTGTATAAATACTTGTAAATAAGTTAACTGTAAATATACTAATTTAGCTTATACTTATTTTCTAATTAAATTTTTGATTCTTTGGAAATATTAAACATTTAAAAAGATACACAATACTAAACATTAAATAATAATATTATGTAACACATTGTAAATATTTTATAACAATAAAAACATACAATTAAGGATTAAACAAACAAAACATCTGTGTAACTATTACAAAGGAAAATCTGACTACTACAAAACTAGAGAGTATACCGAGTTGTGCCCACTTGCTACATTTACAAACACAATTTATCTGCCATTGTCGGGGTTAGTGTGATTGTACGAATTTTTGAATCCACATATCTATTATAAACCATTCGTACAATTTGTTGCGAATGTGCTCGATCATCGCGAGAACTAATAACTCTCAATCCTTCTTAAATAATGAATTTAGCAACTCCGCATTTTTTATGTCATCATATTATAAAATGTGGCCATACCCAATGTTCAACCCCAATTTGGTTAAATTTGTTCTATGCATCATGTTATTTACTCTCTATTTTGCTCATGTACTTATTGAACTCTTTAAAAATGTATACCTCTACAGCTCTCCTAACAACAACACAATGATAGTGGCTCGATACTTGGTCTTCAGGTTTCTTTGTATGCGGTATATGTATTAACCATAAAAAAATAGCGACACCATTTATTATTATAGCATTCTCTCGGTTAGTTACAAAATCAATGTTCTCGACATTCTCAATTACTTCCTTAATCTTTGTGAGGAACCAATACATCGCTTGATCATTCTTGTTATTGATTATACCTAATGTAAAAAGATAAATTTGAATGTTCGCATCTTGATATGTTGCAATAATCGACTTCTCTTCAGATCTGGTGTTCAGGATCGTGGTTTATTGAAAGATATATAATGTACAAGTTTTAAGACTCAAGGACAATTTACAGACCTACGACATCATTCACGACATTTGTCAGGAGTTCGGGGTGGTCATGAGCTATCAGAAGGTTTGGAAGGCTAAAGAATGCGCATGTAAAGATGTAATGGATTCACTCGAGAAAAGTTTTGCTAAACTGGTCGGGTATTACCATAACATGATGAGAACTAATGTTGGCTAAGTGTTTTTTTTTTATTGAGACTGATGCCAACAACCACTTCAAGTATTTCTTCATAGCTTTTGGACAATGTATTCGAGAATTTATTAATTTAATTTATTGTCAGTTACACGGATAATGGTATGGGCAATCCTATTTGATTTCTTTAGTTTTAACTTGAAGTCGAATTTCAATGCAATCATATCCACAGCTTCCTGAAGATCTCTCTTGATGTCAAACAATTGGTAGATTTGCAAATCTTCTTCATAAAAAATCACAAGTGAAGTACGAAAA